AGAGAGAGAGAGAGAGAGAGAAAACAATACATGCACACATACATATGGGCAAAATAATATACAAAAGGATAAATACATAAAAATCAATGTATCTTGCATACCTTTGGGCCACCGACTGGTTTGACGCAATGAAGGCCAAAGAACTTCGTTACTAGTGAGTTCTCATATTGACATACATGATAGTAGTAACTAGGGAGCATCCTGAGAAGCACCTGTAGGAGAACAACAGCAACATAAGCAAAACAACATATCATTTTAAAAAGCAACAAAATAAGAGATTTGTGATGTTTTCCTTCTTATTATATTGAGGATTTTATTACCTTAACTTCAGATTTCTTCATGGTCTTGATCATGAAACGATCATCATGAGTGAGGTAGAAGAAACTGCCACTCTTACCAGGAGAAGATAGCTCCCTTAGGGCATCATTTCCACATATTGATAACATGTAATCGGCTGCATCAATCTTAAACAGGCGGCGCAAATACCTGAAAAATAAGGAAAAAGAAAACCATTGGTTTACTTAATTATTGGAAGCAAAAGAACACAAAACAGGCCAGCTGAGGCCAAGCTAGCCAAAATCAAAACAGAACAGCAGGGCGAACTGAAATTCAAGATGATTTTTTTGAAAATGAACTGAATTTCAAGATGATATAAAGACAACTGTAGTCGGAGGTAGTTGCCTAGCCAACTTTTTTGATGGAAATATTAGAAAGCAATTAGAAAAACTATACAGTGAATAACAATTGGGATAAGGCTTAGATAAGGATGATGATGATGATACAGTGAAGAACAATCATAGAAAGAAACAAGACAAATAAAATAATTAGAAACTTACTCATCATTACGTATTTACAATAACAATTAGTGAGAACCATGAAAAGGATTTTGAAAATGTTCAAATTAACGGGACAAATGGCTTCAAAATTATATTATTCAAAAGATAATGCAACTTCTATTACTGAAAAATAATCCACCAAGATGAACCACGTCTTGAACCATTTTACCAAATGAATTATAAAACTCACTTATAAGGGGGAAAGAAAAAGAGCATATTACAATATCATTATTGAAGTTAAGAAGTGGGAAATGGATGCAAGACCTGAAAACAACAGGACAATAATCCTTCCATCGAAATTCCACAGACTGGTGAGGTGGTGTGTGCTTTGAACCTTCAGGGGGAAATCTAGTCCAAATTCTCTCCTTGGGATCAAAATCTGTGGATCGGAGCTCACGTGTTTGAGAAGAGGCAGGTTTCCCTACTGAATATCTGCAACATATGACTTCTTGTTTAATAAGATATGAATTCAAAGTGCTGAAGAAACAAGTAGAAAAATGCATTATAAAAAACCATAGAGCAGATTATCACAACTAAACCCTGTGAGCGAGAGAGAGATCTTTAAGCAATAAGGTTCTTTTTTTATTTTGGAAGAATTTAAGCTAAGGAATATTTGATCCCCCACTTTGGTCACAATACCCCTTTTCAAGGAAAAGAAAAAAGAGAAAAAGAAACAAAGGGAAAACTGGAAGGTCTGCATCAAATGCAATACAGCAATTCTCTTTCTATCAGAAAGAATACAAACAAGAACCAGACATTTCAAACGTGAAGGGACCTACTCACCAGCTGCCAATGCAAGTATAACCATACCCAAAATTTTGGTCTAAAAAGGGAAAGAAACAAGCAGAGACACATTCCATGTCATTCAACAACATTAATTCTTGAGAGGAACAAGCAGAAACAATTATTTAGAAAAACAAATTCTAAAATCAACACAGCTGGCTTCAAAACATAGCAATTGCACTCAAATCGTGAATTTCATAACAGATTCAGAAAAACTGGATAAACCTAAACCACGACCCACCTTAGAAACTCACATGATTTATAGTGAAAGATTAAAACAAAAACAATAGCATCTGGAAACTCAACATGCCAATAGAACAATAAACATCATGAAAGGAAATGTCAAAAACTTGATGAAATGGTCAAAACTCAAAAGCAGAAAAAAGGAATACAGAAATTAAAAAGAAAACAACAAAAACAGACAGAGAAAATCAAAACAAAAAACAGAAAACAAGCAGTTACATTATCCATTCCCAACAAGAGCGAAGAAAAAAAAAATCACTACTGAACATCAGAACATAAAAACTACAAACAAAGAATGAAAAAGTGCGCAAGTGTTTAGGACCACATCAGGACCTCATCAAACGAATTTTTTGTTTAATAAATAAAACAGATTATGGCAATGAAATATTAGGTAAAAAATTAGGGACTAATCGACTTAAAAAAACATAACTACCCAAAAAAAACACTGAAAATGATTATGGTGACAAAATTATTCAATACAATAAAAACATATGGTAAATAAGGGATTTTAATTGCCAAAAAATCAAGAACGCCTAAATAATTCCTCAGACAATAATATTCATAATAATGAAAAGCCATATAAAAAAAGAAAATGCAGATTGATAGAAATAGATAATTCAATAATATCGAATAAATACATTCAAGAAAAAAAATTAACATAAAAAAATAAATCATTCAAAGGTAAAGAAATGGGGTTCACTCACCCGAAGAAAACATTGATAATAAACTATTGGGTTCCCTTTGTAAATGAGGCACCAATCCACATGGAAAACAAAGTGAAAAATCCCTTAGCAGCCACCTCAAAAAAAACAAAAATACAGATAAATCATTCATCAAAAACCAGAAAGAGAGAGAGAATGAAATCCAAGCGATTTGAACAACTGATCCTCATCTACCTGATCCCAAGCTGCAAATTCAGCATGAGTTCATAGTTCTTATGCCCCTTTGAAATTGTTTGCCCCTGCCTCTTAACTTCACCTTGCCCACACCATGGACTCCCCTTCCCCCTCACCCCTTTTACTCTCGATCTCGCCAACCCCTCCCACTCCCTTCCATCCACTATGTCGCACGTTATATCCCCCGCCTCTCCATCCGCCTCCCATATGCAGATCCTGCGTCCCAGAATCCCCCTCTTAACAGGCTCATGATCGATCTCAGGCCCACCAGCCCGCTTCGGTGGTGGGTAAAACGAACCCGACCTCTTCTCTGGATTTTCCCGACTCCAAGAACCCACATAACAGCTCCCGTCCGACCACGTCAAAACCCCATTGCCGTCCGGTTCCCCATTCTCAAACCTCCCATCAAACCGATCACCGTTCTCGGATATCAGCACTCCCCGCCCCCAAATCCTACCTCCTTTCCATTCACCAACATACTCCTTCCCTGATTTCCAAACATATCTCCCATGCCCCTCTTGCAACCCCTTCTTCCACATCCCTTCGTAAAAATCACCATTTGCATAGCACTTTTGGCCAAACCCATGCTTCAAATTTTGGAGCCACGAGCCTCGGTAGGAGTCACCAGAGGAGCCGATGTAGGTTCCGAGGCCATCCATGTAACCAGCACGAAACTCGCCCTCGTATGTGGCGCCAGAGGGCCAGGAGAGGCGGCCCTTGCCAGAGGGCTTGCCACAGCGCCAATCTCCCTCGTACATGCACCCGTCCGCCCACAGGTATTTGCCAGGGCCGTGGGGAAGGTTACCGGAAAATGTACCGGCGTAGAGGTCGCCGTTGGGGAGAAGTTCTTCACAGGTTTGGGGTTGGAGAGGGCTGTCGTCCGAGGCAGGGGCGACCCGCTTCGTAGGATGAGTAGGACGCGGGCGGGGAGGAGGATTGTCAAAGGGGGTGTCGTCGTCGTCTTCTGGCATTGGAATGTGGTTGTAGGTTTAGGAGAACTGGTGCATTGGATTGGAGAAGAGAGGAAATGGCGGTTAGGCATAAGGAGATGAAGGGAATTGATGCGTTCTCATGGTAAAGCTGGCAGGATTGAGAACATCGAAATGGACAGATAGCGTGATTAGAGAGAGAAATAATTTGGGTTCAAAGAGCTACTGTAAGAGAGATAGAACGATTGAGCTTGAGGAGATAATGCGCGAGAGCTGGAGAGATTTGGATTTCGGAGCTGCTGCCTAGGGAGAGGTTTGGGTTCAAGAACTGCGCTCGCAGATGTAGAGAAATTTGGGATTGCAGAGCCGAGAGAGAAAGATTGCTCGGAGACCTGCACAGAGAGATAGAGATGGAGGTATCGTTTGGATTCTGAAAGGCGACTCAGAGAGAGAGAATGAGAGAGATTTGATTTGGGGCTTGGGTTCGTTTCTGTTCCTTTGAGAAATGGGTTTAGCACCTGTAGAGAGAGAAGGGGTTTGGGAAATGGGGTTTTCTTGTATTTGTTTTGCAGAGGAGAGAGAGAGATTGGGGTGGGGATGGGTTTTCTCTTTTGATTTCTTTTTCGCTCTGAAAGAGGAAAAGGAGGAAAAGGGAGGTGAAGAGGAAATAAAGAAATGGGGTTGCCTTGGGAGGAGAGGGAACAGGATCCACAGAAGAGATAGAAAGAGGAGAGAGAAAGACGGGTAGACTGTTAAAGATATCGGACAAGAGAGAGAGAGAGAGAGGAGGGTAATTAAACAATGGGGACTGCGGTCTCACGACAAAGAGAGACAGCGGACACTGTAGAGAGAGAAAAGGAGAGAGAGCCTGTAAAATAATGCTAAGCCTTTGGATAAAGAGAGACGCAGCCCCTGTAGAGAGGAAAAAAAAATTAGGAGAGAGAATAAATCGGTAAGGGGTTATGAGCAAAGGGAGGGGCCTGAATATGGTCCGGCGAATTGCAACGGACGATTTTTTTTGTTGGACCAAATTGCCTTGCGTCCTCGTGGACGCCAACGTCTCCCGCTCTCTCTCTCTCTCTCTCTCTCTCTCACCCTCTAAAGCTTTGTATTTTGACAAGTTCGAGAGATCATGTTGTAAAAAACAATTTCCCATTTCAGAGATGGACCCAGTTTATATGCCTGGCAGGCCCGCATATGTAGAAATGCGGGTTTATTAATAAAAGCATTTTTTAGATAGATTTTAAGTCTTAAATCTTAAGGACATGTAATCTCTAATGTGGAGATCATGAATATGAAAAAATAAATTTTAAAAACTACAAGTAATAATTTTAATAAGAAACATTTGGATCCTTAATTTTCATTGTTTTTAGATGGAACAACTACTTATATCCAAATGCTTTACACTTTATGAAACAATTTTCCTTTAGAGATTAGACAGTTTTAAAGATGATCACTATTTTTTGTGTTTTTTATTTTCCCGTATTTATCAATAGAGAAGATTTCTATACTTCCCTTGCAGTATAGAAGATATATATTTTCCCCTCCATCTAGCCATTCAATTAAATCAAGTGAGTCACTGACTGTTTGATCTAGATCTAACGTTTGGTATTTTATTTTTAGTTTTTTTTACAAATTGTACGAATATGAAATTTCGTACGTATCATATTTTCAATGGGGGGTATCTAAAAAAATATTGAAAATAAGTTATCAATTAAATATAATGACCAAAACACCTTTTGAAACTTTCAAAAATATTTTAATCAATCTATTTTATTGAAAATATTTTATATATATTTTTTACAAATTGGAGTTTAAAAGCCAGGTGGAAGCCGAAAATTTGGTGAAATATTTTGTAGAAAAAAATTAAACATAAAATGATATAATGGCGTGACATTGTGATTGGGGCTTTTTCATCCGTCCACTCAAAATAGACGGTTGGATAGAATGAAACATGTAAATTTTATGTTGTAAAGAAAGCATAAAAAGTTTACTCGTAATGTAATCATCCAATAAATTTTAGTTTTACAAGTCCTTCAGTAATCATTAATATGAACATAGTCACACTCCTTTGATCACCTGAGAGAGCATCAAATTTTAGACATGAACGTTATTTGAAAATCGTCGAGGGGCTTTTTAGGAATTAACGTAACGAAGCTTGCCCTAATTTGCGTTGGAAAGAAAGAATGGAGCCAAGGAGTCGCTTTTACAGATCGACCGGCCCAGACTGTCTCTCTCTCTCATCCCCTCCTCTTTCTCTCGCTTCTCTCTCTTTTGACGCTCCTTTTTTTCCTTTTATTTCTGACGCCCTTCGAGAACGGACGACGACCTGGTGACGCCCGCCCCGGCTTTAGCTGTCAGAGCGTCAAAACGCGACGCCCTAAATTCCCTTCTCCCTGCGTTCTAACAAATGCCACGTGGGGTGCATCTATGGGCCTAGCCAGGACAGAGAAGATGGTCCCGATGCCGTGCCGGCACGATTGATTGACGGTCCTGATCCATCCAGATGGCACTTTGCGGATATCGAGGGAGAGCGCTTTGAATCGGAAATAAATCGCCGCGAAAATGCTTTGAGTCGTCCAAGTCATTGGCAGTTACGGTCTGAAAGTGCCCACCGATTAGCCGCCAAACGGTTGTCTAATTTAATAAAATTGTAATAAATGATGGGAAATAACAAATTCACGTACTTTTAGTTTCTGGAAAATTGTTTCATGCGGGCTGGAGCGCATTTCTACATTGCGATCTAGCTGGTGTAAAGCATCCATTTAAAAATAAATGCAAGTAGGTGTTTTATCTAAAACAAGTAAAAACTAAAGGTCCAAATATTTTTTTATTAGAATTATTATTTTTAATTTCTTAAATTTATTTATTTTTTTATATTCATGATCTCAATGTTAAATATTATATATCTTCAAAAATGAAGTCTTAAAATCCATCTCAAAAATAAAAATATTATGAAACCTGCATTTCTACATATGCAAGCTTAGCCGTATAGAAACCCGTTAGTTATTTTACTTAGGAAAAAGTTTATGAAAAAGTTTATATAGAGCCTAGGCTCTAAACAATCAAGTCAAAGCCTACCTCAAAAATTTCACTAGGATAAGTTTTCTTACCATCAATTTTCAAGTTTTCATAGATATGCTCGATTTACATTATTTTTTAAGCTCTAAATTTTATAATTTGAAATAAAAATATATTTTAAGGCTATCACAAAAATTTATAATATTGAAACCACATTTCTCAACACTATTTGAAGATAGACTCTATTTTGATTGTTTAGAGCCTTGGGTGTATACAAATCGCACACACTTATTTATGAACATTTATGCTCAATATTCACATCCAAGAAATAAGTGGAGATATGAAATTTCATGGGTTTTTATAATTTATAATATTTTTAATATGAGCCTCAAAACCGCTCTCATTGGAGGGAAAAGTTGATATAAGGTGTCAAACATATACTATTGAAGCAATATGCATCTCAAAAACCATCTTGAAAATAGTGTTTCTATGTAGGAAGAAGTTCCACTTTGATCATCTCAACCTCATTATGCATCAAAATTCATGAAGAAGAGAGTGTTCAAATGTTGGAAAACCCTTCAGTTTAAGCATAACGATTTTAGGATGTATGGATATGAATAAAAAAAAAATAAGTCCAATAAATAATATAGCTTGTAAAGAGTTATCTGGGTCATCTAATTTCAAATATTTAATGTGTTTATATATATGTATGCTCGATTTACACCATTTGTAAAACTTTAAATTCCATAACTGGGGATAAAGTGGAGTTTTGAGCCAGTTTTTTATACAGGAACTAGATCTCCAAACAAAATCTAGAGGTGTGCCTTACTCATGTAGTACAAAGGAGGGCGCCTGATACAAACCTCAACCCACATTTAGTTATAAAAAATAATGATCACAAATATTTGTGCGTTCGTACTCGAGCGAGTGTTTGAGATAGAGTGAGGATTGTATATGTGCCCTCCTTGAATTACAGAAGTAAGATGCACCTTTAAAAATTGCTTGGATATGTAGTTTCGGTTTAGAAATCTTATGATGGTTTGTAAATATCTTTATATCCCTCATTATGAAATTTATAATTCAAAAAATAGTACATATGAAGCAGATCTACAAATACCTGACAATCTTGAAAATGGATGATCTAAAAATTATTATAACATATATTATTTTTCAAATTTAAAATTTTTTTTTTTTTCATATTCATATATCTCAAGGTCAATGATCAATTAAAGCACTTTTCAATGTCAAAGTAAATCATCAGACTAATTCAAAATCGTCCGAGTTGGCTTTTAAAGAGGGGAGGTACACAGAGTAGGTGAGGGGCGATCCACTTCTAAGAAGCCTGGTAACCCCTCCGATTTTTTATTTATTCGTTTTTCAAAGTTTTGTTATCTGTCCATGCCAACTGGGCGAACTGGATCCATATGGAAAAACCGGTTCACCACATGATCGAGTCCCATGGGTACCGAGTCGATGGGACTTCCTCGTTTTTTGGGGAAAAAAAAAAAAAGGCCATAAGACCTATGAAACTAGCATTTAGGGCCCGTGCAATGCACGGGCTAGAAAAAGTGCATGGGAGGGAATATTAATAAGAAATCCACTACGGTTTTTGTGCATATATGCAATCCCGCGATAGTAGCAGTATAGTTAGTGTCATTCCCATTTAATAATGCTTTCAAATTAATTATTTACATGAGTGTACATATTGAAACCTAGCCTATGATGAGATCATCAATCCCGTGACCATAGCAAAATAGTCGTTCTCATTTAATGTTGGAGGAAACCAAGGTCTTAAAAATCTAAACCAGACTGATCGGGGATCATCAGGGCCTGTCCGGTTCTATCTAAATTTTGAGTATCGATCAGTTCTATCATAAAACTGGTCCGTTGATCACAAAACTGGTTCTATCTAAATTTTGAGAATGGATAAGTTCAATCTTGAATTTATTTTTTAATATTTTTCAATTTTTTCTTTTTCTATATCTTAATTTTTTATTTTTTAAATTTTTTTATTTTTTCTATATCTTTTTCAATCTGTATTTTTTATTTTTTTATTTGTCAATTCACTTGGCTAGATAGCGAACTCCGTCAATCTTCCAGTTTGGGCCAATTTTTCAAAGGAGCGATTGGGGTGACCGAAAGGTATTTGTCTTCTTTTTTTTTTTCCTTTTTTTTTGTTGAATTTTAACATTTAATGACAAAATTTGGAGACATACAATTGGTATGGGGACCGAAATTTCGTGAAGAGAGAGAAAGTGGGGCCCATGGAGAAAGGGGCTTGGCATGAGAAGAAAGGAAGATGAATGCGGGGGTGGAGTGTTGGTGGGTAGCAGGACACCACGCCTTTCCATTTGTAAATAGAGAGAAGGAAAGAGACCACTTCCTTTTTTCTGAGAAAATTGTATCCAAGAGACAGTGACCCTCTGTTCTCGGTCATGGCTATAAACATGTGAAGCTTGGATCTCGCTTTCGGAATTAATAGGATCCCAAATATTCATGGAAATAAAATGTTCTCTTTCTTGGAAATCAAATGGTTGGCCGCTTGTTTTCCAACTCATGAGGAATATTGAATAACATGACTTCGCAAGCTATACGTGTTTCGCACTTACTGCCTCTCTCTCTCCATTCTTGGTTCGCAATTATTGGACTATTTATCCCTTTCTTTTCTCTCTTTGTTTATTTTTTATTTTTTATTTTTTTTAATATTAAATGAGTTTCATTGAGAACAGTGTTCACAAACTCGGTGGATTTAACTCGAAACCGGCTGGTGAAATTGAACTAGGCGCCGATTTTGTTTTGACCGGTTTTGATAGTTCAGCTCGGTATTTTTCAGAAAAAAAATTAAAAACTAAAAAATTTGTTTGTAATGTGTTTTTTATATATTTTTATCGTTTTGACAAAGATGGGAAAGTGTTTTAGCCATGAATACTTATTTTTTTATATTTTTTATTTTTAAAAATTATATAAATACCTTGGGATATATATGGATTTTTTTTAAAAGGGATTGTATATAATGAGACCATTTATCTTTGGTACAAGATGGTTACAATTACTTACAACCATCTGATGTGAAGTTTGATAGCTTAGATGTGAAGTTCG